ACATCGTTTCAAATGTCTATGATTGATTGTAATGAAGCCTGATGAGAATTTACCGAAAAAACGTGTTTGCTTGCTTAAATCGCGTTCTAAAATGTCTTCATGAAACAAAAGGAGTGATAAAACAAACTTATCTATTTTTAAATTAGACTCCGAGCTTTAAGACATAAATTACTACAACTTCTATAGATTTTAAGAATACTTACTCGCTTCCCAGATATTTTGAAAATGGAACTGATGACACCAAATTTCATTTCTGCATATACGAATTGCAAACTCACAAATGAGTCCCTAATCTCAGACTATGCTATGCTTCTCCTCAATTCTGTCACACCATGCAGGTAAATACTAACTCGACAATGTTTTCAGGTGTTAGTTTTTTGGATTTGATTTGTTTCAAGGATTGACAATGGGAGTACTGAACAGCTGCTTCACCCTGTTTTGACAGTGCAAACGCACCGAGGTTCGGAGCCAGGACCTTCCAGTTACAAGGCGAGCGCTTGTAGACCATTCATTCAGTCACTGGGACCTGATTCAATGGCTAGCCCATGAATTCTAACTTCTACCAATTCGTGATTTTAGAGCAACCATCAGCCAACAACGTCATCACCGAGTATTTATCCTCACTACCAAACGGGTGGACCCCAATGGTCACGAATTCTCACCAGAAAGACCTCCAAGCAATTCCGTCCTGGATTCGAACCCCAGTGGTTGCGTAGTGCCGAAGAGTCCCAAGTACTACGACGAAACAGCTGTCCAGTACTCCTGGTTCTCTAGCCGATATCAATCAACAATCATACTTGAAACTCTGGAACTTGTTGATTTTTTTTGGTTTCGCCTCCGATAGAGTATGGAGTTGTAAAACTGAATTCATACAGTTTTTAACTGCATTACCAAACATCACCACGTAGGGCGAAATTCGTAGCACATGTCCAAGCCACAGAAGTCGGTGTCTGCAGATGACGACACTCAATGAGTTATAATTTCCACAGGGTTCAAACACCTCAGAATTACTCACCCGATGATCCCATCCAACGCAGGCAATTCTACAGAGACGGCGATAGTTGAATATGCAGAGTCGCTGCACATCCTAAGCTCGGAGAGATCAGGATATATAGGAATAGACCAAGACTGCGCACACCAAAGCATTGTAAGCCCGACCTTTGACAGCTAGGCTAACGTCGAGACGGCACAAATTTGAGTATGCCAACCTAACTTTCATGATACACTTGAACAAAGCAAGAACAACTATTGTACCAGGATAATGTGAGCTCATCTTTTATTATTTCGAGGATTCTTCTCAACTGGTTACAACCTGAACGATGAAAGATATAAATTACATTACATTAAAGATTTGAACATAATTTTCCACGATCACATGGAGTAATTGGTAGGAAGTAAAAGTAACATTAGTCCGGAATGATTTAACTAGTTACAAACAACTGACTATTTATAGAATAATTCAAATGAATTGTGATCAATATTTGACAGCTTATAAATATTTATAGAATAATTAGGCAATTAGGCTTGGAAACAAAAACAAACAAGCTGTTGTATATATTTTTTCACCAAGGCAGTGCAAGATTCACCACCGTCTCTTTCTGAGTACATAGATTTGGTTTAAGTCGTCTGAATTGAATTATTCTATAAATAGTCAGTTGTTTGTAACTAGTTAAATCATTCCGGACTAATGTTACTTTTACTTCCTACCAATTACTCCATGTGATCGTGGAAAATTATGTTCAAATCTTTAATGTAATGTAATTTATATCTTTCATCGTTCAGGTTGTAACCAGTTGAGAAGAATCCTCGAAATAATAAAAGATGAGCTCACATTATCCTGGTACAATAGTTGTTCTTGCTTTGTTCAAGTTTATTAATGGGAAGAATTGCATGAAGTTTCATGATACAGTTGGAAATCTCGTCCGTCACACCTCCGCCGGCTAGAAATAGGTTGTGATCCACGTAAAGCTGCAGGAGACGGTCCCATTATCTGACCTGCAACCAAGTAATCCCCAGTGACCACCTAGACGACTATCCTCTGAGCCTAGACGCCCGACCTGCGCATTCAAGTCCCTAGCCAGCACTACGACATCTCTCCGACGCACATGTTTCAGCAGATCGTTCAACTGGTTGTAAAACTCATCCCTGATTCAATCCTGGCTCCAATCCGTCGGTGCATAAGCCGAGGCCTGCTGCTTCTTATTCTTTTATAACCTTCCAGCCTCACAGCATATAAACGACTTTTAATGGGGATCCAGTCGAGTAATGCAGCTTCGGCTCGAGCGCTTAGTGCGACACCGACGCCAACGCCACATGGTCCCCGGACAAGCGCAGGTGGTACATACTGCTAGAACTTTCAGGTGGAGAAGATATTCGAAGCACTTCACTGGGATCTTGAATGCAGGTTTCGAAAATACAGCAAACATCGATAGCGGGGATTTCCAATGTTCTCACCACACCTGCCTGTTGTCCGATTTGCATCGGCGTTCAAACATTGTAGATGGCAAGCTCGAACGCGACATACGGTTTCAGGATATATGTGTTAGGTGTCTCACTGGGGACAACCATTTTGAAGGCTGCTCACTGATATCTCGAAACAGCACAGATAGGCTGGGAATTTAGACAAAGGCGAAAGGCTGACGAAAGTGAAGACAACAAGGATAGTAAAAATAATACATGAAAGCCTATGTATAAAATAGGATTAAAAAGAAACGTGTTGCCAAAAATATCATCACTGTTCGTGAGATTAATTTCCCTCATTATTTGTTGTTTCCTTGTTAGTTTGAGGGCTGGGCGCCCAGATCGAAGCAGGTGATTGTCTTAAGGGACCACCCCCCGAGCATTTCACTTGCAGTCTAATCCGCAAGGCAGAGTCAGGAGCTACATTACCATGGTTGCCGGTGACCAATACAGATTCATACGCCAATCGATCCGTTTGGTTTCTGGAGCCCATGTACCCCATAGTAACTGCTTTCAGTCTAACCGCTATCCAAACAACCTTTCTGGCATGGTAGGAACCGCAGGAACATAAGTCCCAGCTAGTGTGGCTTGTTGAGTCACCGTGGTATTCAATCCCGACCACCATGACAAGACAACAACTGTCGACCGGGTCCAAAGTATCACGAACTTACGCTAGCTAGTACGGCAGTTCCATTACATGTTAACAACCCTTCAAAGTTCACAACAGTCAAAATCACATGATGCTCTGACATCAATAGTAACAAATCACAGAACAATGTGTAATATTAGCCACACACTGATATCAAATGTCTGTGTTTAGTAATTTTATCATGTGATTGTAAAACCCGAAAAGAAATATTCGCTTAAATTGTTTTCTTTAGTATACGAATAGCAGTCGAATCTGTACCTCAACTTCATCGACTTTGTAAAGGCCTTCGATAGCGTTAATCGTGAAGTAAACTACATCAGCAGTACGGAGTGACCCAAATCTTTATCAACACCACTCATCAACTGTATGAAAATTCCACATGTCACGTGATCCACAACGGAAAACTCAGTGAAGGCTTTGAAGTGAAGACCAGTGTAAGACAAGCTGGCTGCCTAATATCACCGATGATATCCCTAATTGTGGTGGACTGGATTATGCGGGAAACTGTGAGTCAGGAGTGAGAAGACAGGAATACGCTGCATCACCGATAATTAAGACTCTAGAAGATCTGGATTTCGCAGATCACTTATGTCTAGTGTCACACAAACTCAAAGACTTACAGGCGAAAACCAACAAACTGTCAGAAGAAGCAGCAAAGACAGGATCCCAAGTGAGCATAGAGAAGACAGAGGTGACGAAGACAGCCAACCAACCAACCAACAACAAGCACTAATAACCACCAACGGTAGAAATTTTAAGGACGTCACTACCTTCGCATATCTGACCAGGCAGCATCGTTTCAACTACAGATAACAGCACGGATGATGATAACGACGTGAAAACCAGAATCGGAAAGTAAAGGAACACCTTCATCATTTGAAACCAATTTCGACTGCACTCCGACGGAGCATAAGCAACAAAATTCGAATTTTCAACACTTATGTTAAGTCGGTCAGTTACTCTATCTGAGTCGGAAACTTGGAGAACGTGTCACGTAAAGCATTTGTAACAGCCAGCTGCAGACACTTTTATCAACGGCTGCCACATTCGCTCCATATTTAAAAGATAAAATGGCTGGCCAGAAAAAAAACTAGGAAACAAGAAACACTTGAAATGAACCAAACAAGAACATATCGCTCAAGAATATCCCGAAGAAAATGGGGAGATGGATTGGACACACGCTGAGGAGACCGTCGAATGGCATCCCTCGAGTGGAACCCGAATGGGAAACGAAGAGTTGGGCGTCTGTTCACAGGTGACATGGAGGCAATCATGCGAGGAAGAGGTAACAGCCTATGAGCAGTCGTAGGGCCGATTGAAGAGTACCGCAGAGAACAGGACAAAGTCTGTCTGGATTCAACATAGAACTTGGCACCGAAGTGCAGCAGTTCGAGTTCCCACGTTCCAAATAGCACACAAAGGTTGACAAGAAAGTAAGTGAAGAGAATCAATAGAGTTTTGACAAGTATAAGAGTGAAACAGAATGAGTAATGGTAGAAAGGAATATGAAAGATTGCAGAGACTGAATACATCTGCGCCATTGACAACAACTTTGAGCCATGTCACCTATTGTCTCCAGCCATTGATTCTTAGAGTCCCGAGGGCAGGCCCCAACCCGGAAGTCTGCATCTCCCTACCTGACTCAGTTTAACTGTCAAGGATTTCACGGATTGATGCCATGTTTTCGTTTGGCCACCACTTACTCTTTTCCAACCTGCACCTATATCAGCTAGTAATGGCCTCGGGAGGGGGAGGCGATGGTTAGGCATGCACAGCACGTGACCTAGCCATCTCAATCTTTGTAACTTACAGGACAAAGTGGAGATGTTCTTTCGAAGTCCTGTGTCCCACTCGAAACTAAGGTTAATAATGCAACAAAAAGTACACATCATTTAAAAACTAATTCATATTTGTGAATAAGCATACAATTTCTTTGAGTAAAACAAAATAATACATGTGAAGCTTCAAAAAATTGTTTATTATTTGCTTCTTATTTCAATAAGGGATTCCTATTTCTTTGCAATATAACAATAAAAAGTCATATATGTGAAAGTGTATGTATGTGAGACAAAAATTTAGTCACAAATTTAGACACAAAAGAAATTGATTTCAAATTTCCATACATCACTGGTTGACTACACCTGATTTTAAAAATAATCAGCGGTGTTACTGAGAATGTTACGAATTTTCAAAACAAAGATGAAGGTGAATAAGTAGAAGTGCATTACAATAGATACTCTGATTTTTCACATTACAAAATGAACGTATAAGGAAGATCGTAACCATATTAAATAAATATATATATGCATGAAGTATATATATTACATTCTGTACAAACAAAACAATGATAACACAAGAGAACTTAGGAAAGGCTAGAGGATATAAGAATAACAATTTACAATTAACAAGTTATTCACCAAACAGTCAATTTTTCAAAGGCGACAAAACACTGACTCTTGACGGAGAACATTAACAGCACTAGTAGTATTGATGCTTAAGATTTTATTTATTTTTCTTTGATAATTATCGAAAATTGACAAAACAACCGCTAGGAAAATAATAAAGAAGGTGGGGAGATAGGGAGAGATTTGCACTGTTATCGTCCAATTTGAGTAGCAATCCAATCCAAACCTTGAGGAAGTCTAGAAACAAAAAAACAAGACAAACCTTTCAAAAGACTACAAAATATAATACAATTGACTTAAACAATTTCATGCGTTAAAAAACGGGTGGTTATGACGCCTTCCTTTTGCTCAAATCTTGACAAGTGGAGTGTGAATTTATAACCCCACATTTACAAGCTGTTAGTTTAGCTTAGATAGATTTCAGTTATCCAGTACTGGGCAACAGACCGCACATATTGTATTCAGGTTAGTTATATTATGCAGGTGCCCAGGCTAAAGTAGATCGGATGGGACTCGAACCCAAGACCCATTGGCTGAAAGTCGAATACTTGAGCCAATGTGCCACATCTCCGTAAATACCTACGAGGGGGGGGGTTGAACTCAGGACATTCCGGTTACAAGCCAAGCTCGTAGACCATTAAACCGCTGGGACACAAATCACTAGTCATACAAACAAATAAAATATCCAGCTAATACAACTCAGTCGCACGAAAAAAACACCACTTTATGTGCCACATTTGACGTACAAAAGCTTACGATACTACTCAGATGTCCAGGTTGAAGTAAATGAACTATGGTTTCGCCCTGAGACCTCAATAACTGAAAGTTGAGATCAAAAGCCAACAGCTACACCCCACCCACCCCTTACAAATTGAAGTCCTTTATAAATTTAAAGTCGAATTTAGAATTACTTGTTCAGATAACAAGACATTTTAGTTATTCGCGAAAAATTTATACTACTGGTTGACTGAGATAAGTAGTTGTATACCAATCATATCAGCGAGATCAAGGTGATCTAAACACCAGACGGCTGTTTCGCTCGTTTGGGACTGAACTCATGAGTAGTGTACCCGGTTCGACCCAGCTCAGAGAGTCGAATCAGTTGAAACCAACCAACTTTTGGCTAGCTACTTGAGCGAACTGGTGATACCATAAATCAAGTTCACAATTTGCAATGTAGAAAGTTCAATGGGTGAAATTTTCACCACAGTTCCCTTCGGAAAACAAATTATCCAGACCACACACTATGTGATCTGTTTGTTTATAACACCTAAATACGAATAGTAAAGAAAATCATCCAACTTCGCGGAAGGTAGAGCTATAGATACACACTGTCACATCTTCCCACGTTATCAGCTGCCAGAAACCATTTGATAAAAATTATACACCCCATAAAGATTTAAATTGTGACCAACTGACCGGTTTCAACGTAGAACTTTGCACAGATGTGCACCAGTTCAACTTGCTACACTCAATGTAGCACAAAAGAGAGAAAATAAGGTTTTCAAAAGAACAATAATAAACAGAAATATGGTGGTAGAGAAAGAACAGTAACATGGAAAAATAGTAGGGTTTAATGGATATGGGAGATCATAGAGTGAATGCATGTGCGCCAGCCATTGAGAACGATTTTCAGCCATATCACCAATTGTCTCCAGCCTCCGTTGGTTCTTACCGTCCCGAGGACCCCAACCAGTCCGGAAGTCTACACCTCCCTACGTGACTGACTGGCTCAAACTAACTGTTGTGGATTTCATTGACTGATGAAGCCATGTTTTGGTCTGGTCACCACTAGCTAACTCTTTTCCAACCTGATCGATCCTATGTCAGCTAACATCGTCCGTCGGTGGAGGAAGGCGATGGCTAGACATGCGTGCGTAACACATGTCCTAACCATCTCAATGGGTGTAACTCCACAACCTCATCGATTGATTTCCCCTCCTTACCTAGCACTCGACCGTAGCCTAACCTCAATATTGCACACCTTATTATACCGTTTAACACGGGAGACAGAACTCAGACACCTATGATCAAAGACAGTCAGCCTTGAGTTGTTGTATTTGAGAAGACAACCCAAGTGTATTTTAAACGCGAAATAAGCAGAGATATAAACACAACTAGACACAAGCCCTGTCTATTGTAAGTAGAGAATGAACTGGACGTGACTTGAGGAAGTGAGTTATTTTTAAAACAAATCATTGTAGTAGATGACGTATTCCTAGGTGATTGGAATAGATTTGTAAATTGATTAAATCATTTAGGAAAATATGTTGTCAGAGTTAGATGAATTGAATATTTACTCAATAAATTTGTTGGAATAGTAAAATCACTGCTGAAGAAATACAAAAAGAAGACAGACCTTGACATGCTTAAGTAGTGAACATAGTGGTAGTAAATAAGTCTGATAGAGTGAATAAACAAGACTGAAGTTAATAAGTCAGAATATTTGTTACAAATGTCCCAACAATTCCTATATTGTCCACTATTTATTAACCCAAAAATTGGTTGACACATTAGGATGAAGGATGTGCTTGATTAGTAGCTTCTGGTGTATTACAACCGTCTAGATAGGATCTAACAAATCGTGAAACTTTGGTTCGAGACACTATCAGATATGGACCAGAACCAAAAATAGTGTCAACTATGCATCAGCTTTTTTGTTTTTTCTATTATCGAAATCAATACAGAGTATACCTAGTGGGAATATCTAGATTACCACTGCTATCTAATCTTTGTTGGACATTTTCTGATGATCATATTGATCAACAACAACAGACAACAATCAGCATAAATGGGAGGAACCTGAAAGAAACAACCTCCTTCACCTACCTGGGAAGCATCGTTTCAACTGCAGGCGGAACTGACGAGGATATCAAAGCAGGAATCAGAAAAGCAAGACAAGCTTTCACTACTCTCAAGTCTGTGTGGAGGTCAACAGCACTCAGCATCAAAATAAGATCCGGATTTTCAACCCCAATGTGAAATCAGTGCTACTATACGGATAAGAGACTTGCACTGAGTGTCATAAAGACCATCTCAAACAAACTGCAGACCTTCATTAGCAGTTGTCTTCGCTCAATACTCAAGATCAGATGGCCGGCCAGAAAAGATCAGCAGCAGAGATCTCTGGTATTGAGCGAACCCACCAGGAACCGATTGTGAAACAAATAGGCAGGAAGAAATGGAGATGGATTGGCCATACTCTGAGGAAACCATCAAGTGACATCACTAGACAAGCCATAACTCGAGTGGAACCCGAAAGGGAAGCGGCGAGTTGGTCGTCAGTACAAGGGTGACTTGGAGGAGATCATGTGAAGAGGAGATGAAGGCGTGTGGGCAGACTTGGAGCCAGGTGAAGACTCTAGCAGAGAACCGAACGCAATGGAGATGAACGGCTGAAGCCCTATGTTCCTCTAGGAATTAAAGGAAACAATAATAATAATACTGTATTAAGTTAGGGTTGAAGTAAACATACAGAAATAAAATTGATTGAAATTGCAAATACAACAACGAAGAATTATATCACTAATGAAGAAACCAACAGATAGTTGGAAAAATGAAAATCCGGTTGGACTTCAAAAGAACCTTTAGACTAATGGTCAACAAACATAGGTGGCAGATTTTCCTAACATTCATATAAATTTTTACTAATTTAAATAACATGTAAACCAAAAAGAAAACATATTTTACACACGTTGATAGATTAACCAAAGTTTCAACAACACGGTTAGAATATAGTTATTTATAGGAACCTTGAGAGAGAGAGAGAGAGTTAAAACCTTTTAATTTACCAAGCACAGCTAGAAAATCTCTCTCCGTACAAAGCCAAGGGAATAAACGCTAAAGTTACAGTTAACTCCACCCTTCTAAATAATGTCGAAAAAACACCCGGAAAGTAATTGTAAAGGACAAAGAAATATACATTTCTACATGAGGTCATTTAACAGGATAAACAAACTGAGTTAACGCTCTGACATTGATTCTAATATACAAAAAAGAAGAACTTGATTTCTAGTGGTTTCACAGCGGACGGTTTGTCGAAAAAACATCTACGAACCTCAGAAGTGAATACTAGTTCACTACTTACTACCAGCTAAATTCGACATGAGTTTTATTAAGGTTAAATGAGAAGCTGTAATGGACAAAACTGACCAAGTCCAGAGTGGAAATAGCTACTGGCCTAAAAAGCAGGATAGTTGTCGAATTATGTCATACTTTGACATCAATTGAAAACTATCGACCGCTGGATTCTCATCTACAGGCTGGATAATTAAGTGCTGGCTGCGTGACACCACAGTATAAATATGGCTTTGTACACGCATGCACCAGACTGTGGACCAAACTTACTACATGAGGGCTAGTGATACTTGGCAGTTGTACAGGGTGAAACAGATGAAGCGCAATTTCAACCCGGACACACTGACTGTCAATCGAATGCTTAAGATAAAAAGATTACACCTCTAAAACCATGCCTACTGACATGCAATATAATCAGTTTTATAGGAAGAAGTATAAGAACAACGAATCAAAATTCAGACAAAACTGCCTAAGTAATATAATCACTTCAAAAAAAACACTGAGACCTGCACAATAAATAATTTCACAAAACATTACAACCATTACATGGAATAGGCTATTCTGACGACTAACTCTTTAAAAAACGGCGTACACTGAGATGATAACAAAGCTTTTAACAGGAAAACTTAATTAATTTTCATCACCCCACTCCAATCAACAAATGGTTTGGGATTCAACACTCTATTCTGCTATGAGTCTTCTTTCTCTGCCTACATATTACATACTTGGAAATAATTATACAACCGCAATAATAGAAAACAATTTTTAAACAGGAAACTGCAAGACTTGAACAAAATACCCTAATCTAGTGATAAATCTATCGCTAAAGTGACATTTACATTGAAAAAAAGGGCCCAAGCAACATGAAAACAAATTAAAATGTCTGACTGAAGAGTGGAGCAAACATAAGATTTAATACATAAATTAGCATACCCTTCTCCTGTCAGTGCGCAGCATGGTTGAACATGCCATGGATGGTCCTTTATGGATGTCAAGTTAAGGTTGTGACTTATTTCAGCAACAGACATACACCCAGATACATCCTGCTTATTCGCAAATATCAACATCTTTGAACGCTTTAACTCCTAAAGCAAACTATTTATTTTTCCCACTTACCTCAGCAACTAGTAATTTGTACAGCTCTTGCTTTGTTAAGAACAAACGCTCACGATCTGTGCTATCGATAACTAAAATAACAAACTACGAGGCATTAAGAAACGGGATAAATACATCTGAACCAGAAAAATATGTGTCCCAAGATGCTCTGAGAGAAGTCTGTCCACCGATATCCCACATTATGAAATGCAGATTCTTCCATTTTACTTCCTCCACATTGCTGCCAATGGTAGGTGACGTTTGCACAGCCTCTTTAAGTACGAACTGATACAATATTGTGGATTTTCCGGCATTATCTAATCCCAAAATTATAACTTTATAGTCCCGAGAACCGAAAAGCCTCCAAAACTTTGAGAACAATAAGCCCATCACCCATGTGGCAGTGAGTTCGTAAAAGCCTCCTCCAACTTACATAGCAAATATGAGTTTATTCAGATTAACATGCATTCTACTTTACTTTGTTACACTTTCTTCTTAAAACTGAAGATACCGTTATTTGTTTATCTCACTACTCATTTGGTGGGTAAGTTGAATCCGGTCGAAATGGCTAAGCTCTACGACTACTTGTTCAAACTGCTACTTATTGGCGACTCCGGAGTCGGGAAAACAAGCATTCTTTTCCGGTTTTCTGAAGATGAGTTCAACTCCACCTTCATAGCTACTATAGGTAACCGGTTCACCAAAGCGTATAAGTAATTTTTTCAAGGCATCGACTTCAAAATCCGTACACTAGATATGGATGGCAAAAAGATCAAATTACAGATATGGGATACGGCTGGTCAGGAACGCTTTCGCACTATCACTACTGCCTATTATCGGGGCGCAATGGTAATCTCGTTTTCAAAATTCTTACAGCCATTCTTAAGGGTATAATGCTTGTATACGATGTTACAAACGGAAATTCTTTCGATAATATCTCTACCTGGATGAATAATATATCTCAAGTAAGCATTGGCATTCCTGGGCTTTAAATTTTTATTATTAAATAAATAAATAAGTCTATTTTATACTAAAACCTGCTCTGAAGATGTCTTGAAAGACAGCTGAAGCTTCGCAATTAAATCAGCCAGCTCAGATAACACAACTAATTCGATTCTCTATTTCTGGGCTTTGCTGTCTTTTTGTTGTGTATATATTTTCCTTCATAAAGTTGTTTAATCACAGGTTTAAAGTTTAGACATTACATACTCTAGGTGCATTCCCAGAAGTTTGAGTAGCATCCAAGGCTGTTTTTCAAATACACTGATAAAAGCTTATATGAGTGTTACAAAAAATATCAACCTCAGGGAGTTTTGTAATTACAACCAAGATTTCGGTAATTTAAGGTCTTCCGTTAAAAACACCCTCTCAAAACAAAAATTCACAAAGTGTGTATGTTTATTTATATCTGTGTGTATCTGAAGTTTTTGGTTTTCTAAGGGCATATCATTCATACTTTCAGGAAGCTAGCTAATTAGCTGCCAGTGCCTAATTATCTTAATGTAACTAGTAAATGTCTCTTTTTATGTTACTTCCCTGTTTTACGAATTGTCGCGTCGCTTAAGGAGGTATTCGCTATATCTTAGACTAGATGGGAGGAATGAGTGACAATAGTAACAGTTGTTACTTAACTATTTTGGATATTAAACTACAGAACCTGCATAACTTACCGGACAAGATGTCCCTTGTTCAGTGATCAGCGTCGTAAGATCGAGTTAGACTAATGACTATTATGACCATAGTTAGTTATAATAATATGCCATAATGCAGCTATCCTAGTTCACTCAGCTCACTGGTATCTGGGTCTTTAATTGATGTCAGTGTGTCTTCGTTCTCACTTAGCAGTGGTTTTGCTTGCGATGTATCACCCAGGACAGTTGTCGTGTTCACAATCATCACGATATGCATCACTGGAGTTTTGCAGTAATGTTTCAGCCTTGGGAGAGTCGTTGTCAGACATTCTTAATGAATTTTTCACGAATAATACAGTAGCAATACTTTCCGAAACTTTCGGCAATAACTAAGAGATTCGTAAATAAAGTTTTGTCTCACCGCTTGAGTTACTATAAGCTATCTAGCCGTAAAGTTTTTCTCTTATAATCTGAGCCGTATAGAGAAGTGTGGATTATGTGACAAATCTCACTATGTTAATGGTTATTTTTGGGGACTCTTAGTGACAGATCAATATCACTCACGGTGACCTATATGCACTCTTTATCGTCTGTAACACTGAACACGTTAATGTCTCTCCCTTGAAATGTTCTGTCTCACTCATTTTTTCTGCTTCCAATTAATGCAGAATAATGCATTTCCGTAAAATGCTTCACATCAAACTTTCTACGGTGGGCGTCTCTAGAAGGGTTACTACTCTAGACTCACAATGACGAAACCCTGTAGCTTAATTAACTTCATCTGACTTATAAATCCATGAAATCCACCCTACGGTTGGCTTGTTGTCGCGGAGATTTTAATCTCTGGAGCTGAAAACCGCTCTACTGAATCTCAGTACAGTCGCCTATGTTATGCCTGGTTGGTTGAGTCTATAAGAGTAAGACAAGACAATGCTGTTTCATAATCTTAGCTTCAGTTTGGATGAGTTTTATCACAAGCAGTACAGCTTGTTGCAAAAAGTGACCATCCGTGTAAATGGCAAGTCAGTATTTAGGGAAGAATTAATCAAACATTTATCAGATTATGACAGTAGTACTCACTTCGAGAAAGTCTAACATCATATCTGGTCTGGTTCGAATATAATAATGAAGGTGGCTGCTTACTTACAACCAAAGGTTTTCGAAGAAATCACATTTTCATAGCTGCACCCAAATTGACCGAATCAAAGGCAGTGGCTACAGTTGGTTCCGAACACGCAGCAAGTCTTATAAACTACTTTAAGTAATGGCAGATGACGAAAGTGAAGAAAATAAAAAAGGCATTAGCAATAAGTCACGTATGTTGAAAATGTCGACTTGTTTCACTAGTAAGTTTTGAAAACCTATGTCAAATGGGGCGATCTTTGTGGAGTATGGGACTTCTGTGGAGCATTTCAACCGGTCTATGATTGCATATCACTCGATCCTAGCCTGAGTAGGACTGAAACATCGGTCCTGCAGACCTAGCCGCGATTGAAAAAGCCATCTCCAATCTATTCAGAAACAGAAAAGCAAATCGTTTGGACGACATGTCAAACATTCAGGTTTTTTGTCGGTGTTTTTATAAAACTACACTTTGTCGGTCTTTCCACCTCGAAGAACTATGTCATCTGCATATTACACATCGATGGTAGTTAATCAGTACCTAAAAGAGCGAGGTAAAATATGATATCCACCAGTACTTACACAATAAAACTAAATGACAAAAGTGACAGTGTACATCCCTGACAAATATCATTTTCTGTGTTGTTACTTCAAACGACAGCATCCTTCACAAGTTAAAGTAGATGGTATTATATGCTTTCTAGGCACTGAACACTCAGACACTACCACAACACCTCAATAAAATTAAAACGACACCTCGTCAAGAAATATAACAAGTAACTGACTCTTGTAGGAATCTTTTTAGTCTTGCGAAGGATAATAATTCGACCAGTGCATTCTCATCCGATGCAAGAACCTCCCTGATTTTCTTAATTTCGTTTCTTGTGATCTCCAGTCTTCGTGTAACTGTAGGCGCTATACTGTACCTATGATAAGGAGCTAAATAATTGTCCATGCATTAATTTGTTATCAGTAATGATAAGCGTACATAAAGTATTTACGAGTTGATCACGGATTGATATCAGTTAGAGAACCATTGAAAACCAGGGAGTACTGGACAGCTGTTTCATCCTATTGCTTGGGAATCATCGGCAGTACGCACCCACTTGGGTTCGAACCCAGGACCTTCCGGTTACAAAGCAAGCTCGTATACCATTCAGCCACTGGGACCCGATTCATTGGCTCATAAATAAATTCTAACTTCTACCAATTCGTGATTTAGCTCAACCCCAACCAATGTCGTCGGTGGGACATCCATCCTACCTAAAGTATTTGTTTTCAAGATACTGTCTGAATAAGTCACTTTTGGAATTGTGTTAATCTGTCTCTGAAATACAATACATTCAGGTAGTGTGTGTCACTTTAATGTCGTTTAACTTACAGTCACGTGTATAACTATAAGTGTAATTATTTTTAGCTTCATTTAAACTTTAGTAATAAATTTGAGTCAGTCACAAAAGATATGTCAGTAAACGTTGAGGAGTCTTGTCATGTACATCTTATCACTCACTGTTTTCATTGTAGCATGCTAATCAAGACGTTGAAAAAATGCTTTTGGGAAACAAATGTGATGCTAATTCAGCAAGAGTAGTACCTACTGAAGCTGGTCTTCAAGTAAGTCAAAATATTTATCATTTTTAGACATGTGAAGAAAATTTTATGTATTAAACCTTTCTACTCCTAATAGGCATTTCATTAATTTGTTTATTAAATATATCACACAGTGAAACAGTATTATTTACTGGATGGTGTTTCGAACACAATTCATTGTTCATAATCATATCAATTTTAACTAAACAACTTCGAAACTTCCGTTTTATAGTTTTCTATGTTTCTTCGTGTTCGCCGTCGTAGGAGTAGTAGAACTTTCCAGATATCTGGGACAGTTGCTGAATCACTCCTATTACACTTACTGTAGTTGATTCGATATATAAGGCTTCGCTTACCGATCTCTCCCTCCACCCTGTTACATTAGATTTTAGAAGTCTGTCATCTTATCTCATCCTATTGTATGGTTGTGTATAATTGCGTGTAGTGAGTGCTATAGCTGAGCTATTCTCCAGATTTCTTATCTTATTCGGGTCAACTAATCTAGATTTTGCTAGGTTTTTATGCTCGGCTAGTCTGACTGACTGACCCCGTTCTACTACTTTGACCTGTGTATTCGGCCTGACAGCTATCTCAGGCAGGGTATTAGATAAACTAAATTGTTTTATTTTGTTGCCTCCACAGGATCCTTTAACCGACATTCCTTGTTTCTAATTGAGTTTGTGGGTTTGAATGCCAGCCACTTTTATTCCTACGATGTTAAAAATTCTCCGCTAGGTTTCCGAGAATCCTTCTTTGTATGGAAGTACTATTGATGATACAAATTCCCTATTGTTGGCGTTGTCGTTATTCTGTACATTTTTGACATGCATGTCATCATTAATACTATTATTATTATTATTACCACTATCACTACTATTATCATCATTTCGTTCTTACATTTTCCTGCATACTTCCTGATTAATTTATCAGGGTAATTAATAAGTTTCAAAGCTTCTTTAGTAAGCCTCACTTTCTGTCTTAGGTTTTTCTTCGGGTACTATTTAGTTTTGTGCCCTATTACTTAAACAATTCGCCAATCCTATTTTTACTGACATAGAATGGGATGATCGGAAATCCAAATATCGATTTGAATGTGTGGGTTACCTGTAAACACTAGTGTTTAACTTTCCATCTTTTTTCCCTTTTACGCTACAATCTAACATTAGAAGCTCTGCTTCCTGACTTTCCAATTCATAAGTGAATTGGATTGCCTCCACTTTTGAGTCGATGTGGTCGAAATATCTGTTTATGTCATGTGTTCTAAGTACGGTGAATCTGTTATCTACACACCTCCACCATACTTTTGAGGTGGAGCTGGACGTTTCAATCGCTAAGTTTTCCCACCTATCTATGAATGTATCTGCCACAGCTGGGGATATTAGTGACCCCATGGCAACTTCCTCACTGTGTTTGTATATTTTCCCTTGGAATTTAAATACTGTGGAAGTCAGGCATAGCTAGCCGCACTCCCAGCATTATTTCCTCTTGTGGCACTTCCGTTCTAGGTCTAAATTCTTGGTCAGAAATGAGTTCGTGTCGGACTACCTCTATAACAATATTTGTCAGTATACGTGTATATAGACTGACAATGTCAAAACTAACCATTTTTTTTCCTCACTGTCTAATTTTAAATTATCTAATCTATGTTTTATTTCATAAGAATTTGTTAGTCTAGATTTTGGTTGACTTCTAAGAGGATTTAATACCATCGCTAAATATTTAGACAGTTCATAAGTAGGTGAATTTCTAAAATCAACTATAGATTTAATAGAGTATCCTGACTTATGGACTTTAACAACACCATACATCCTACTGGAGTTATTAGTTTCTAGCATTAAATTAAACCATTTAGACTCACCTAGAAATGGCTTCATTCGGCGTAAAGGTTCGCTGTGGATGTCTTAACCTTATTCATAACAGTGTCTATTGATTTATTAATTTCCTCATACGGCCCGTACTTCATCCGCCATTGTTTGGTCTATCCCACTTAGTGCTATTTCTATTTTAGGGACGACATTCTCAGGTTTCAGCTTGTCTACCGGTACATTGAAATTTAGTCCCTGTTCTTATACACTTATTTGTGGGCACAATGTGTACTGACTATAGAACAACAAAAATGAGGGAAACCCAACCTGACGAAACCAGAGACAGAAGCCCTAAAACACCGTAAGAATAACAAGGACATACTAATCATTAAATCATACAAAGGAAATGCAGCAGTAATATTAGACAAATCAGACTATTTGGAGAAGGTGAATACCCCCGCCACATACAAACAGGACCGTATGAAGAAATTAAGAAATGAATAGACACTGTTATGAATAAGATTAAGACATCCACAGCGAACCCTTACACCGACTGAAGCCATTTCTAGGTGAGTCTAAAGGGTCTGATTTTATGACGAAAACTAATAACCCCAGTAGGATGTATGGTATTGATAAAGTCCAATTCTTCAAAGCGAAGCGATATAGTAAGTGTTTTCACTTTCTAGGTGCATTGCAGTTGCTAAGACATCTGTTTTCTAATTGGAATGTTGTATGGTCAGCATTACTAAATCACTCTAACAAATTTTATCAGATTTCGATGTGGGTTTCATTGTTGATCTTTGCCAGCTTGAATGCATTATATTATTAACGCTTAGATTCTCAAAGTGAACTGACAGATGGACCGGATCAGTATAGAACTTTGCACAGATGTGCAGGAGTTCAACTTGCTACACTCAGTGTAGCATATAAAAGAGAGAGAAAATAAGGTTTTCAAAAACACGATAATAAGCAGAAATATGGTGGTAGAGAAAGAATAATAACATGGAAAAATAGTAGGGTCCAATGGATGTGGGAGATCATAGAGTGAATGCATGTGAGCCAGCCATTGAGAACGATTTTCAGCCATATCACCAATTATCTCCAACCTCCAATGGTTCTTACCGTGACGAGGACCCAAACCAGTTTGGAAGTCTACAGCTCCCCAGCTGACTGACTGGTTCAAGCTAACTGTTGTGGATTTCATTGACTGATGAAGGCATGTTTTGGTCTGGCCACCACTAGCTAACTCTTTTCCAACCTGATCGATCCTATGTCAGCTAACATCGTCCGTCAGTGGACAAAGGCGATGACTAGACATGCGTATGTAACACACGTCCTAACCATCTCAATGGGTGTAACTCCACAACTTCATCGATTGATTTCCCCTCCTTACCTAACCTCAATATTGCTCCGTTTAACACGGGAGATAGAACACAGGCACTTATGGTTAAAAACAGTTAGCCTTTGCATATCTTACACTGGCCATGTTTCGCTCGCAGCCATAAAGGACGGAGTGAAGTGCTGAGCAGTACACTCATCCTTTGATATTGATAGCCGGCTGGATATCACATCTACGCCAAAGATGATGTATTTTGGCGAATTCCGCACGAGCATTTTGTATCCGTGCTGAGATTTCGTCAACAATCAGTCTGTTGAGACTGATACAACTTCCTAAATAAGTGAAGTGGTCAACACGCTCTACCAATGTAGATGGTATAGAGTTACCACTAAGTAAATCGAGTTAATGATTTCTTAAAACCATGTGCTGTTAGATTTTCAGTTGTGAATATCAAAATATCACTGAAGAAATCTTGTGCTGTCGTGTCCAGTGGTTAAATTCTCCGGTTGAATTCATCCCTGTCTTAGTGATCTCGTCAATCTCTGTAAATATATTTTGCAGATATGTAACAACAGAAGACAAGGGCCAGGCAACAGATCCTTTATTAAGGAAATCAACACATTTATATATTTTCATGTACATTATTATAGATTATTTAAGCAAACAAACAGTCCTCTGATTGGTTGTTTCTCACTGAAAGTTAATCTTTCATCTCTTTGTGGCTGTTTCTTGAATCATCTATATGCTAACTGTATCCGCCTACGCAAAGTCTTTGTTCTCATTATTTTCACGACCAATATTGGGGACATAAACATTGACGTAAATTACTGTCTACCAACTTTGGCTGGCAGCCAGCTCTCACCACAGATATAGTTATTAATTATTAGATTATTTACATCAGTTAAAACCTTATTTAAAGTACAAACAGTTGAGCTGTGTGGTTAACTGAAAGAAGTCTGAAAGCATAGATTGACATAACATACTTGTGCTCATTCCTAATGAGTCCCAAACGAAGCTAAAGTGTAAAGCACTCTGACACATGATCTAAGCTCGGACTGCTTTTGCTAACTTACACCATCTCTGGCGTAGGCGTGACATCCGGCTATCAACCAAGGGACGTGTGTACTGCTCAGCAGTTCGCTCCGTCCTTCTCTATGGCTATGAAACATGGCCAATACGAGGTGAAGACACGAAAAGGTTGACTGTTTTTTTATCATAGATGTCCACGATCTCTTTCTCACGTTAGGTGGCATAATAAGGTAAGTAATGTTGACGTTAGGCTTAGAGTGTTGGGCAAAGAGGGAAAATCAATCGAAGGGGCTATAAATTTACATAGATTGAGATGGCTAGGTCACGTGCTGCGCATGCCTAACCATCGCCTACCCCTCCCGGGGGCATCACTAGCTGATATAGGTGCGGGTTGGAAAAGAGTAAGTGGTGGCCAAACAAAAACATGGCATCAGTCCATGAAATCCTTGACAGTTAAACTGAGTCAGGTAGGGAGATGCAGACTTCCGGGTTGGGGCCCGCCCTCGGGACCCTAAGAATCAATGGCTGGAGACAATAGGTGACATGGCTCAAAATCGTTGTCAATGGCTTACGCAGATGTATTCAGTCTCTGTAATCTTTCATATTCCTTTCTATCATTACTCATTCTTTTTCACTCTTATACTTGTCAAAACTCTATTGATTCTCTTCACTCATTTTCTTGTCTACCTTTGTGTGCTATTTGGAACGTGGCAACTCGAACTGCTGCACTTCGGTGCCAAGTTCTATGTTGAATCCAGACAGACAGACAGACATGATCTAATATTATATTAAAGCAGGAATATTTACTATCTCCTGGGAGTATTTACATGTTTATGTTCTTTCTGATGTTCTTTTCTATATATGTAGCTTGCGAACTCATATGGTATTCGCTTTATGGAGACCAGTGCGAAATCTGATATTAATATCACTGAAGCTTTCAAATTACTAGCGCAAAATATCAAAGTTAAAATGGAGGGGAAAATGGTAAGTTATTATGTTTTATTTGAATAATATCCAGTAGTTTCTAAGGCTTTTTAACCAGAGAGTGGTGCAACTTTTCGCCTACTTATGAGATGACCCAAAGCGCGGAAGCAGCTGCTCCGCTACTACATTAAATGTCGTTTTAAAAGTTGTACTATTAAACTTGCAAATTATTTGGTATATAATACTCATTCATTATTTGGTTACCACCTCGAATTTCATCCGCGAAGTACCCAATAGCTAGGCTGTCCCACGTAAAATGCGACCTGATTTTCGAAATTCCGTAAGTAGAGAGGGTTCCACAATTTTAATTTTCTTTTTATCTATGTAAATAAACCAAGTTTTTCACAAAATACTTGTGTTTGACGAAGACATCACAGTTATTTTTGCTCTTGACAACTCAGTATGCCTTAGGGCTTTCTCAGAAAATCATGAACTCACAACATTTACTATTATTACAGTATTATTCCCTTGGATTCCGAATGGAACATTGGGCTTCGACAGCACATCTCCACTTTGCCCAGTTCTCCGTAGTCCTCTTCATCTGGCCCCACGATTTCCCACTAGCTCTTCCTCAGACCTACGCCCAACTCGTTGCTTCTCATTCGGATTCTACTGGAGGGCCTGGTGTGCGATGTCAGAGTAGATCCGATCCATCTTCATTCTCTTCGTCATATTTGTTGAGCAATAGGTTGTTGTTGATCGATTCATTTCCAAAGTTTCTTGTTGATAATTCTTTCCGGCTTTCCATGTGATCTTCAGTATGGAGCCAGGCCAGTGAAAGCAACTATTGTTGATGTAAAAGTCTGCAGCAGCTTGCATGGGAGAATGCTTTTGATGTTGCTCAGGCAAAGTTTCTGACGCGCATATAGAAGAATTGACTGACGACTTAACATTATTAGTGTGCTGTAAATCCGAATTTTGTTGTTTGTACTTCAGTGTGGGGTGCAGAAGATTTTCAAACTGACTTAAGAGTAATTAATGTCTGTCTAGCTTTTTCCGATTCTGATTTTGACATCCCCTCATCTGCGCTGCGCTGACTGCTTGATTTTAAACCTTTGTGTGTGTGAATTACTCAGTTATACACTTCTTTTAAGTTTGTGTCTATATATGAACTTGCTTAGACTAATTTAAACAGTATCAAAAAAACAAACAATATATGTGTCATAGTGATGTAACCTACTGTTTCACTGTTAGAACCTGTAGAATTTAATTCGATTATGAAAAGAAATTTTTTTAGTATTTTTAATATATTTATGCGTTGAAGTTTCTGTGAGCAATTTGGTTAAGTTTCGGGGGTGGAGTTGCTAGCACCACGCCCCAACCCTCCCTCGTTATCCGGCCTTGAGACCGGCTAGAAAACTAGCGAGCTAGTAATCTAGGCGAGGAAGGCGAAAAACATTCATCAACCTGAAACCAATCTGGAAATCTTCGTCACTCAACGCATCAACAACAAAATTTGGATTTTCAATACAAACGTCAAGTCAGTTCTTCTATACAGATCAGAAACTTGGCGGAATCCTGTTGCAGACCTTTATCAACAACTGTCTTCGCTCTTTACTGAAAATCAGATGGCCGGAAAGAATCACCAACAAGAAACTATGGGAAGAAACAAAACAAGAACCAATCGCCCAACAAATATGCAGGAGAAAGTGGAGATGGATTGGACACTCGCTGAGGATGCCGCTGGGTGACATCGCGCGTCAGGCCATAGCTCGAGTGGGACGTCCAAGGGTGACATGGAAGAGATCGTGTGAAGAGGAGTTGAAACAGTATGGACTAACATGGACGCAGGTGAAAAGTACAGCAGAAGACAGAAGCAAGTGGAGACGTGCAGTTGTGAAGCCCTATGTTCCACTAGGAACCCAAGGGAACAATAATAATATGAAAAGAAATTTTGATATAGTCCACAAATTCTAATACTTCTGTGAAATAATCGAAGTAGACAACTTGCTATACTATTCTATAGATAATAAATGAACCTTCTGGAACTGCTGCTATGGTAATATTTCCGCCGCATAGACTGGACACTTAAATATTTAAAAATGATTTAACATCTTTTGAGACAAGAATATTGACTGACCAAAAATGCTTCTGATTTATTTGTTGTTGTTATTGTTTTTTCTCTAAAAAAAATTTTATTTGCTAATTATTAATTTCAGGAGATCATTAACCCGCCCAGAGAAGACACCAGAAATATCAACAGCAAACGACCTAAACGTCAAATATGGCGATGTTCCATATTATAAAGTGGGGTTTTCTTTCCATTGGTGTCTTTCCGCCGATAAGCTTCCGTGAGAAAAAACATGATGATCTATTTCCCTACTCAAAACATTAGACGAAAATTCTTGATTTTTAGGAATCTTTATCAGGTGCCTTTTGACCAGCCTCATTACACTTTCTTTGTCATCTCTTGCCTGTCTGTTGTCTCTGTGTGTGCGTGCGTGCGTGTGTGTGTGTGTATTTGAAATGAATATAAAAATGCCAACTACTAACTACTACTGTCGCCAATTCATATAGGGGTTGCTGTTTCCTTTTGCCATTTGACTTCAGAGCAAGATTGTTTTGTCTTCGCTGTTAGGACATGATAATCATCATCATTATATACTGTTATTATTTTCTGTTCTTGTTTCGGTATTTCTCTCATTGTTGTTCTACGCGCGTGTTCATCCCTCCTCTTAATTCCACACAAATCAAGTTGGCCTTATCCCCATCACACACACACATACAAACAAACATCATTAATTTTTAATAGAGGTATGTTGAAAAAACTATTTTGAGCTTTTCTGTGTGTTATTTGTTTGTCTGTCTTTCTTTTCTTACTTTCCCGTCCCCCCTCCTACTTTGTTTGATAATTTCACCAACAACAACACACACAAACACACACACAATGCTTCATCATCAACACTTTTTATTCTGCCTTGTTTGTTTTCATCATCAGAATCACTAGCGGGGGGGGCGTCTCCAGTGATTGTAAATAATCTTTTTTTTCTGGTAAATGTTATCATTATTACTGTTACTGTTATTATTATTATTTTTTAACACCCTCTGATTATTTTACTCCGTTTCGTGTCAATCTCGCGCGACCATTTTAAGTAGTATATGGAATCGTTAACTTGCATATTTGACTGATGATTTTACTTGTGCAAACTAAACTTGTTATCCCCTTGCACATTCTACAAGTAATGCTTTCATCTTTATATATTAGGATGCTGAGAAAAACATTTTGCTTCGATATACATACATACACCCCAGTACTGTTTGACGACAACTCACTTCTTTCGGGAGAGAGGGAGAGATGGACAAAATAATTTGAAATACTCTGTGTGCGTTTTTATAACTCACACTCACAAACACACACGCGCGCGCGACTTAATTAATCTTAGAGATTATGCAGTATTCACCTATTGACTACTACTACTGTTTTAATTAAAAGCAGAGTTATAATTTTTTTTCTGTAAAAGTCTTTATTTATTTCGCCCACGTATTATATGTGCACTCTTGCTCCTCCTCTCCTCATTGTATGATGGTATGGTATGAGGTGTCATCAGAGAGATATGGAGAGAATCACTTGATGTGGGTTTATTTTGTCTGTTTATTTGTTTGTTCGTTTGTTTAACGTATACTTTTTCTTTTCTAGTTTTGATTTTCTTTTCAAATAAAGTATACTTTCCCTTCCCCCCCCTCCCACTAAATGTGCTGCATAGTATAAAATGGGTTTATTAAGTCTCTTCCTTCTTTTTATTTTGTTAAAGATTATTTCTTCTGATGAGTTGTTATGTTTTGTTTGTTTGTTTGTTTTGAGCAACCGTGTGTGAGTGTGCGCGCGTGCATGATCTTTCCGGTCATGCGTGCTTTGGTGTCTTTGTCTCTCCTTTCAAAATCTAAAATCTATTGCCTCACATCATCATCATCAGCTTATCAGATTATATGTATGTATATATATTATTATTATTATTGAAAAAAATATTAAATGAACAAACACACTACTAATACTATATCTAATATATTATTCAGTTTGTTTTACTTTTTTATCATTTCGGCTATACAAATATGCATATACATATATATATTACTGTCCAGTGTTAATTGCAATAAAAATCATCTTGGGTTGTTTTCCTATTATTATTATTATTATTATTGGCTGGTATATTATGATTTTATGCTTATGTCCAGGGAGTACTGGACAGATGTTTCATCCTAGTTTGGGAATCATCGGCAGTACTACACACCCACTGGGGTTTGAAACCCCCAGGACCCTCTGGTTACAAGGCAGCCTCTGGGAACCGATTCAGTGGTCAATCCATGAGTTCTAACTTCTACTAATTGGTGATTTTTACAGCGACCACCACAAATAAATCAATCCTTGAAAATATGTGTATTTGTATACTACTTCTGTGTCCAGTATACCATTGAAAAGAAAAGGAGAGAATTATCTTCCAACAGTTAGATGCCTTCATCACGATTGGGTTAGTCATGCATACATTTGTGCGTCGGTGGCACAGTGGTTAGAACTCTCGCCGACCATGCACATGGTCGGGGTTCGATCCCCTGCCGACGCACACCTGATATCAATGGTCGACCTGCAAAATTTGGGCTACCGATATCACATGCTGAAAATTCCATACTTGTACCAAGCATAATCAAATAATATATAGAAGCGTGCAAGATGAGAGAGTGTTGGGAATCTTCCCAACCTGGCAAAGTTAAACAATAGCGTCCTAGGGATGTGAAAGTCCCAATAACCTTGAGGGTATGTTAGTCATCGGCTAAGGACACTCGCCATTGTTACAGCGCAAATATGAACGCTATTCACTGACTAGGGTGCAAATTTTACTCAGAAAACTTTTTAAGTACTATTTGAACAATGTTTTAATAGCTCGTTAGGATGAAGGTTAGGGTCAAGGTTGAGGTTGCGATTAGGGATAGATTTAGAGTTTGTATTATTTATTTTAATTTGTTATTATTATCCACATGTTCTTAGTAAGTAGTTGTCGATCCTCCTACTGGGGAACCATAGTAATTCAACCGAGGGTTTTTGGAGAAGACTGCAAAACACAGGATAAGAACGATAAACGGGTCACAAATAAGGCTCACCTTAAGTCACCTCGGTGAATACATATATAGAAATAGTCTAACTTTAAGACTGATACTTCTTATCATAACTGGAACGTATTTTTAACGAGTTTATCACGGACTGATATCAGTTAAAGAAGCATTGAAAACCAGGGAGTACTGGACAGCTGTTTCATCCTAGTGCTTGGGAATCATCCGCAGTACGCACCCAGTGGGGTGCCATGTCAAAAAAAGATACCGTGTTTTCATGCATTTTCTTGTAAATAAACGTCACTTAATGTGCAAAAATCACTTGTGGTTGGTCGGCTCAAGGTCACTCGTGCGTTCGCACCCTCTGGGATGCTTTTGTTTAACTTTGTTCTCAACCTTATATATATATGACATTTGTACATTCATTGACGATTTCACTATGACTATTCATCATAGGTATGATAAGCTTGTCTAGAACTGGATGTGAAATGTTTTCTCAGAAGTGTTGGACTTTTCATTGACAATTCATAGTCCTAGTAGTAGTGGTATCGAATAAAATAAGGCTTGTTAAACATAGTTATCTTTCAAAAATGAATAGATGTGTTGCCTCAGCATAGTCGCGTGTGCATAACTTTTTTTAATTATTAGAATAAACTGATTGTTAACCGGTTTAAGTTGCTTCGCAATCAAATCAATGGTCTTGTTGTGATACGCTGTATTATATTTATTTATTTATTTTGATTTACAGCTTGATTCCACACCGTATTTTCAGTACAAGTGTGGAATTTTCAGCATGGATATCGGTAGCCCAAATTCAGGCCGACCATAGATATCGGGTGTGCACCGGCAGGGGATCGAACCCCGGACCATGTGAATGGTCGGCGAGAGTCCTAACCACTGTGCCACCGACGCACTGTAGAAAATAGTTCCAAGTTTGACCACAGACTGATATCAGTTAGTAGAGAACCATTGGAAAACTAACAGGGAGTAGTACTGGACAGTTGTCTTTTCCTAGTACTTCGGACTCATCGGCAGCAGACACTCACGACGGTTCGAATCTAGGACCTCTCGGTTGGTTACAAGGCCGAGCCACTGGGACCCGATTCAATGGCCCAGACCCATGAATTTTAACGCGACCACCACTGAATTGGGTTGCAGTGGATGAATTATGTATGAGCACACATTGTAACCGGAAGGGCAGGGATTCGAAACAACCTAATGGGTGTGTACTGATGAGGAGTCGCAAGTACTAGGACGAAACAGATGTCCAGCACTCTATGGTCCTCTGATTTATTTCAGCTTGCAGGCAAACAAATCAAAAATCTCTAGAAAATAGTTTAACAGCAGTTAATCAACTATTTTGTTTGCCTTTAGTAAGGTATTATTCACTTCTTTCCATGTTCATTATATAATGTGGGGTTTTTATAGTTTAGAACCTAGTTGCCAGTGTAATTCATACCGATTGAAAATTTAAAACAAGCGATGGAGGTTATTATTAGTATAAAATTTATGGAATCTTTATGTGATTTTAACCACGCCTAGTTTACTAGCTCGCTAATTTTCTAGCCGGTCCTAAGCCCGGGTAAAGAAGGGGAGGGTGAGGCGATGATCTGACTGTCTCCTTGCCGGCGGTTACTTCTCAGTTAGACTGTTCCAAAAGTGAATAACTTTTTATCAGAAATTAGTCAGTGGTCCGCGTCAAATGGTCTTCAGCTTAATCCCTTCAAATATCAGTTGGTTAATTTCACTTTCAGATGCAGGCGTAACTTACGTGAACTGGTTAGTTCTCACGTTCCACTATCATAGATGGCATTGAAGCTGAAACCAAATCGAATGTTAAATACCTTGGACTGTGTATTTCCTCTGATTTTTCCTGGTCTTCCCACATCATGTTAGCTTCCTGAAAGATATTTAGTTTTATGTTCCATGGAAGGAAGTTAAGAGACGATCCGCTATCATTGTTTCTACTTGTATTCTGCCTATACTTCTTTACTGTTCTTCTTATACTGCGTAGGGCGCTAAAAGCCATCGGTAGAGCGAGTAGGGTGTTGCTAAACCAACTTGTTAATACTATTGTAGATAAACACAGCAAGAGCACTGGAAGGTTGATGTGTCTGTCTGTCTGTCTGTCTGTCTGTTTTCGACATAGAACTTTGCACATATGTGCGGCAGTTCAAGTCGCCACAATCCATGTAGCACGCAAAGCAAGAGAAGGAAGTAGAAGAAATGCAAAATATAGACAGTAAACAGTGGTGTGAGACAAAGGAATAGTAATAACGGAGAACAAAAGTTTAATTGGAAATCATAAGTCACAAGGAGTGGATGCATCTGCGCCACTGAGAACGATTTTGAGCCATGTCGCCAATTGTTTCCAACCATTGGTTTTTACCATCCCGAGGGCCCCAACCAGGAAGTCTACATCTTCCTACGTGGCTTAGATTAACTGTTGTGGATTTCATTGATTGGTGCCATGTTTTGGTTTGACCGCCGCTAGCTCTTTTCCAGCCTGACCCTATATCAGCTAACATTGCCCGTCGAGGAAGGCGATGACTAGGCATACGTAGCACATGTCCTAACCATCTCAGTCGATGCAATTTCACAGTCTCGTCGATTGATTTCCCCGCCTTACCTAGCACTCGACGCCTAACCTCAATATTGCTCACCTTATTATTCCACTTCACGCGGGAGATAGAACGCAGACACCTATGATCGAAGACAGCTAATCTTTTCATGTCTTCTGCTCTCAATGGCCAGGTCTCACAGCCATAAAGGAGGACGGAGCGGACTGTTGAGCAGTACACACGCCCTTTGGTCGATAGTCGGATATCGCGTCTACGCCAGAGACGGCGAAAACTGGCGAATGCGAACCTAGCCCTCTGTATTCGTGCTGAAATTTCGTCGGAGATCAACCCGTTGGGGCTGATGGTACTTCCCAAGTAATTGAAGCGGTCAACGTGTTCTACCACTTCACTTCCTATTTCTAATCTAGGGGTCGATGAAGTCCAATCCTGCAGCATCATCTTACGTTTTATAGGGGCGAATCGCATGCCAAACATGCGGAGGTTGTTGCTCAGGGTGTTCAGTAGACTCTGCATTTTGTCAGAGTCCTCGCCTAGAAGGACTATATCGTCCGCGTATTCTAAGTCAACGAGATTCTTCCCTGGTAGCAAGTCAATCCCTGAGTCGCTGAAGTGAGTTAGGGTTAAGTCCATTAGTACATCTATGATGAAATTGAATAGGAATGGGGATAATGGGCATCCTTGACGGACGCCACTAGTCGTCACCACTTCAGATGACAACTCGCCATAAGCCCTCACCTGGCTGCATGAGTACGAGTAGAGTGCCTTAATCAGAGCAATGTATTTTCTTGGCATTCCCTTTACAGCCAAGCATCGCCAGAGAACCTCCCGGTCGACGGAATCGAATGCCGCCTTTAGGTCAAGAAATATAATGATTGTCGGACGCCGGTAGGAATGCCTATGTTCTAGAATCTGTCGAAGGGTGAAGATGTGATCAATACACCCTCTACCTGGCCTAAAACCTGCCTGGTTTTCTCGTGTTTGTGTCTCCCGAGCACCACTTAATCTACGCAGTATTATTGAGCCTAGGATTTTAGATACTATATTAGTCAAGCTAATCCCTCTGTGATTATCACAAGACGACTTGTCCCCCTTCTTGTATATCGGGATGATCAGTGACTTACACCAACCCGATGGGACTTCCTCTGATTCCCAGACGCTGCCTAGAACCTCCGTTAACGCAGACAGTAAACTGTCGCCTCCGTACTTAAATACCTCTGGAGTCAATAAATCAGGTCCCGCTGCTTTGCCTAGCTTCAGATTGGTGACAGCTTTAGTAACCTCGGTTAAGGACGGAGGACCTGTGTCTATCTCCCATTCAGGGAGGTGCTGGATGTCCGGTAGGTTAAGTGTGGCTGTGGGCCAATTAAACTGCTCCTCATAGTGTTCTTTCCAGCGCTCCAGACGTCTATCCTGGGAGCTAATTATAGTGCCATTTTTCTCGGAGATTGTTTCGCTTATCATTTGCCTTTTACCACCTGTTTCCCTGATAAGCCT